CAGCTGCAGAGACTATCAGCACACACAAGCCTGTTGCAGCTTACAGACCTTGGGCTTCCTTCATACCCAGCCAATCAACCATCCATGCAGGACTTGGCCTGCTCCTCAGCCAGCTCAGGACCCAGCAACTTCTGAGAGAGGTGCCCAACCAAGGGTCAGCTTTCCTACAGAGGCAGCATCATGTTATTCTGCAAGCATGTGCTATTGTCCCGATTCTGTAAGAGGGCTCCATTTTTAAAACCTTTTACCAAAAGCCAGTAGGGTTAAGGCAAATATAATTTCTAGCAGTGGAATGTTCCTCTAGGGGAAAGGTGCTACAATCAGAAAGGCTCTGGGGACCCACCAGATTATACTCTCTAACAGCAAGGAACCAGAACATCAATCTTTTAATTAATTTCCCAGGATGGGCATATAAAAACAGATAGAGAAAGTTCCACAAGTAACCCAGATCCATGTTATGAAGGCCTTTATAGGTCATTACCAGCATACTGAATTGAATCAGTAAGCATGCTGACTACCAATGCAGCTCATGAAGCAGAAGTATCATATGGGCCAAAGAAGGGCACCCATCATGCTTATGCATGTACAGCACATAGTAATAGTTCAATCAGGATGTGATTAGAGCATGAGTGACTATGAACAGAACCTCCCAATACAAGAACAAGTATGATTAGTGTACAACACAAACTGTGCAAAGGCCCTCCTAGCCATGGCTGTTAACTTGATCAAGAGTCCCAAATATAGATTTCACACAGCCTCTATCTAGGACAGGGGGTGGGCAATCTTGGCTCTTTTATGACTCACGGACTTCAACTCCCAGAATTCCTGAGCCAGCATAGCTCCCAGGAATTCTAGGAGTTCAAGTCCGCAAGTCATAAAAGAGCCAAGGTTGCCTACCCCTGATCTAAGATAATGTCACCCCATACCACATGCTAGACAGCTGTGCTGTCTCTTGTCTCAGCCCTGCTTGGAATGTTCTCCCTTGTTCCTGGGAACTGCTTTTTCATTGTAGTCCATTACACCACCTCTCCCTTCATAGGCACCATCCGTCACAAGAAATGCATCATCCTGCTCCCACCAGAGGTCTTTTAGAAGTGCTATCAATACCATCTTGAGCCCATATCTGGGTCTGAATCCTGACTGAAAAGGCACCAGATAATTAACTTTTTCCAAATTGATGAAGTTCTGTTTGAAAGTGTCAGAACATACAATCAAGATGTGCTCCTTGTGATTGGAGACTAAAATGCCAAAATTGTAGTTGGAAATTGTAATTGGACTATATGGCTTAAGAAACCAAACTGAAACAGGAGAACAACTTATCAATTTCTGCGACTGTAATGATTTCTTCATAGCTAACATTCAAAAAACCCCAAAATAACCCTTCTATACATGGACATCACCAGATGCAGTAACTATAAATTAAAAGAAGGTGAAGAACTCATTTACAACATCAGAAATGTGGCCAGGTGCTGAAGAAGCAAGATAGAAAAAGAATTGAATTTTTTTTAACTGTGACATTGGAGAAGACTCCTGAAAACATTATTATGGATACTAATAGTAATAAAAAAATGATAAACAATTAACCTAGAGTTCACCCTGGAGACCCAAATGACCATGCTCACATTATGATACTTCAAATACATTATGTGAAGACATAGCTCTCTGGAGAAGTCTCTAATGCTGGGAAAGGTGGAAAAAAAGGAAGAGAAATACCAATAGAAAGGTAGATGGAATCAGTTACATGGCAATGGGTATACCCAG